AAAAAAAAAAAAAAAAAAAGATTCTCTCTCTCTCTCTCTCTCTTTTTCTCTCCCTCTGCCCCTCTCCTCTGCTCATACTCTCTCTCTAAAAGAAAAAAAGAAAAAGAAGAAGAAAGGGATTTGACCAAGGTCATATATGGCCAAAAGAAGAGAGAGAACCATGGGCAGGCTCCCCACACTGGCAGAATGCCCTTGTTTCTCCCCCTCCTTGGCTACAGCCCAGCCATTCTTCAAGGTCCATTGTCCCTCTGCGGTAAACAAACCCATCCTCTTACCTGTGTTTACGTCACTCATTGGCACCTGGCACACAATTGGTCAGCAATCTCAAAGGCGTACATCTTGTTCTCTACAGTCTTGACTCAAAGGCAAAGATCATATTTTAGGCCTTTTTGCATCCCTAGAGCCCACTGAGCCCAGAGAGTAGAAGTTCAATACATGTGTATAGAGCATGATGTGATTGGCAGATTACCCAGATCGACTCACTCAGCTCCCATATCACAGAATCTGGAAGGCTAAAAGCTGCACTTCCCAGACTCCCTTGCAGGTCGGACTAGGTGCCACAAAGCTAGACATGGTGGAAACGAGGTAGGTGTTGGCCACAGGTGGAGAGAATCCTTCAAGGGCATGGTGGTGGACAGATTTGGTCCTTTGGGGCCTTTACTGTCAGGTGTCTGGCATCTTAGGAACCAAGTGGCGGGGCAGGAAGACAATGGAACGATGTAATTGGCCATTTCACAGAGCTGCATGGCTCTTGGCTGTAGAGTACTTGAACTTGGTTCTTTAGTTCCCATGGAAATCCGCAAGCTCTTTACTGCCTGATGTGAACATAACCCTTTAGCTGGAGTGGTTTCTATCATCTGCAACTAAGAACCGTAGCTAATATAAGGTCTAATATTCTTTTCTCCCCCAACCAGATTGCAAATTACCAAAGGGCAGGAGCTATATTTATCTCCTGTAAATACAAATTATCTCCTGTAAAATCAACAGAGCACACCATTCCCCAGGAAACTGAGAGATGTTGATATGTACAATTCATTGAACTGGGTGAAAGTTCTTTTTTTTTTTTTTTAAGTTTATTTATTTACTGAGAGAGAGATAGAGAGAGAGAGCATGAGCAGGGGAGGGGCAGAGAGAGAGAGGGAAAGAGAGGGAATTCCAATCCACACTGTCAGTGCAGAGCCTGACGGCAGGCTCCAAATCACGAACTGCGAGATTGTGATCTGAGCCGAAACCAAGAGCCTGACGCTTAACCAACTGAACCACTGAGGTGTCCTGAACTGGGTGCAAGTCCTAAAATTCCGACAATTTCTTCATCCTATCTGTGACTCAACAGGCTGAAATGAAGTGGTCATTCAAATATGGTCTTCTTTTGATACCTCAAAGCTAAGTCGTGCCCAGAGGAGTCTGATTTTTTTCAAATTTCAGTTTAAAACTTGGAAAAGTCAGAGGGACAGTTAAGGGAACCCTCCCTCTTTTCTACCAATTTTTATTTAGTGTAAAAATGGTGTAGCGTTAGGGGCGCCTGGGTGGCTCAGTGGGTTGAGCATCTGACTTTGGCTCAGGTCACGATCTCGTGGTTCGTGAGTTCGAGCCCTGTGTTGGGCTCTGTGCTGACAGCTCGGAGCCTGGAGCCTGCTTCAGATTCTGTTTCTCCTCTCTCTGTCCCTCCCCTCCTCTCACTCTGTCTGTCTCTCTCTCTCTCAAAAATAAACAGTAAAAAATTTTTTTAAATAAAAAATGATGTAATATTAAAGGGACTGTAACAATTCATCCAAAATATGACTGGTCTAACACATTGCAATATTCCCATGTTCCTCCCAGCCCTATTCCTATGCACCCTTAATTTTGCATGGCGGTGGTCTACATTATAGTTTCGTAGTCTGCTTTCTCATATGTTATAACACGAGCACTTTCCGTGTTGCTATCTAGTCTTCATTTTTGATGGCATATTTCTTTCTGTAGCCATGTTATACGTGCTTGCACATTCACTTTTCTTCCAGCTCGTTGTGGCATGATAGCTTCCATTGCACTCATGGTCTTGAGAATCATTTCCGGAGCATCACTTCCCAGGCATAGGATTGTCCGGCCAATGGATCCAACTATCTCCACTGCTGCTTTTTTTTTTTTTTTTTAACATTTATTTATTATTGAGAGACCGAGAGAAACAGAGCGTGAGCAGGGGAGGGGCAGAGAGAGAGGGAGACACCGAATCTGAAGCAGGCTCCAGGCTCTGAGCTGTCAGCAGAGGGCTTGACGCGGGGCTCGAACTCACAAACCCGCGAGATTATGACCTGAGCCACCCAGGCGCCCCCAACTATCTCCGCTGCTTTTAAGGCTGGTTATACTCTTCAGCCAGAGGATGAGGACACCAGCGATCTCTCTAACTTTTGCTACAGGTGTCTCCGTGTGGTCTACAAGTGCCTCGTTCTGGTTTTTAGGGAGGGGCTTGTTTTTTGCTTTTCCTGCCTTTGGTCCACTGATCTGGGAAGACGGCTCCCATTTCGCGCGCGTGCGGCCGGGAGTTGGGAGGCGGCGACCGGCGGCCCCGGCTTTGCGCCCCGCGGTTCCGGGTTTGCGCCCGGCGGAACGGCCCCGCTGGCCCCGCCCCGTCGGACTACCCGGCCCAGGACTACACTTCCCAGGCGCCCCTGCGCCGTAAGCCCGGCCGCAGTTCCCAGCCGCGAGTTGGGACGCGGAGTCTGAGGAGTCAGAGGTGCACAGCGGCGCGCGATGGCTGCGTGGAGCGAGCGGCTGGCAGGCGTGCGCGGGGTGCTGCTCGACATCTCGGGTGTCCTGCACGATAGCGGCGAGGGCGGCGGCGTGCCCATCCCTGGCTCCGTGGAGGCGCTGGCGAGGTGAGTGGGCCGCGCCGGCCGCGGTGGGCGCGAGGCTCCGCGTTGCCGAATCCCACCGGCAGCTTCTGGCTCCCGCCGGGGACTGGGCGGGGCTGTTGCACTGGCCCCGCCCCGGTCCCTGAGAGCCCACCCGGGCGGGACCCCGTCACAGCCCCCCGCCGCCCCTCCACCCCCGCGAGCATAGGGCCTGTGCTGGTCAGAGCTGCCCGGTCCTCTGGGGCTGCCTTTTGCTTCCTGCCGCTGCTGAGCGTTAGGTAAAATAACATACATTACATTCCTTTTTTTTTTTACATTTTTGTTAATGTGGTTACAGGAAAACTTTAAATGGCGTATGCGCTGGCATCGTTTGTTTAGAGGGGAGGAGGAGGAGGAGGGCATCTTGCCCACCAAATCTTGTGCACAGAGGACCACACAGGGACCACAGTTGGTACTACTGGACCCTCCGCTTTGTAGCTGCCATTGATTGGCACGACAGGCCAGTGCTGCCATGATGTTGATGGACAGCCAGGA